GTCAAGAATTTGGTTGCGGAGGGAAAGATCAACACTGTCATTTATGAACGTCTCAAATCTATGCCTACGATTCTGTTGTATTGACGAATTCGTGTATGCAGCACTTGAAATTTGGTCAAAAAAATCCAGCAACGAAAATAATCCAGGAAGGTGGGAATGGTATATTTTTGCATCATCCTGTGAGCCGTCCACATTTCCGATATAATGGATCCCAAGGGATGAAATTGAAATAACCAATGCAAATTGTCGAAGCTTGAATTCAAGAATACGACTTAGAACCATGGTGGACCCAGAATGCGAGTGGACCAGATTAGAAGTGTATTGTGCAATGAGGCTCTGTGCAGCTGCATCGAACTCTAGCCAAAGGGGTGTTTGTCCAAGAAATTCATGACGAAGTTTGTATCGATCGATCGGCTGGGGGCATGGACTAGCAACAGGTGCAACATACCGGTTAAGGACGGAGATATTGAGAGGTCTATGTATCAGACCAATGACTCCCTGAATGCGTTCAAATCTATTGTGCACAAGCGGGTGCATCTGCCTCCATCGAATCTGATGTTCATATATGAGTATACAATCAATCCTAGAGGCATGTGAACCGTGCATGAATGGATAACTTTGTCACTCTGCGGTGCCTTGTCGAACTTCTGGTCGGATGTATACACATACGGAACAGCCATAGTCATATTACAAGCATCATGTGGCTTATGGGAATATGTCAAATTGCATCAGCAAATTGATGCCACAAACAGTGTCTATCAGCCAAAAGCTCAGCACGTGGTCTGGTGGTGTTCTATGCATGTTGATAGATGCAGAAGATGTCATGAATTCTCTTGAGGCTCAGTCGCAAATAAATCAAATATCCAGGAATGATGGCGTGATATGCAACTTGGGCGGGTTGCACGATGGTTCTCCTCATCATCAAGAATTGTGAGGCTCGAGAGTTGGCGCTATGGATGCAGATCCATTTCGGCGTATGCCATTGATTGCAAAAGTGCCGGCCAATTTCCTGAATCAACAATATGTCAAAGCCACACCTATTACTCCAGAGCAACCACTCATCATAAAGCAAGTCATTGCCAGCATTCCAGGAAAATAGCTGAAGAGCTGGTTCAGGGGCAGCTCGGCAATGCAAGGACTATCGTAGTCGACAAGGAGGGGTCATTGCCTGGAACATACGGAATCTCAGCGAGACCTCATATGCCCAAAGAATACGACCATAATATTTTATATGGCCTTCCCGGACCGTTCTACGATATGCACGATACCAAATTCTTTCGAAGAATCAAAAAAATATTCCTCCCTGCCTAATGAGGAGCAAATACGAATCCTAATGCCAACCATAACCAGCGAAAAATCAAGTAGAGCATCACGATTATAGTCCTCAAATTTAGGATTAAAATCTCCAAATACAAAAAATAAATAAATATAACCAGGACAAAAATTTCATAATATAATATAAATTCAAAAAAAAATCCACATAGGTTCATCCTGCACAAAACAATTATGTCCAACGAATTAAAATCGAAATTAAATGTCTTAATTATATTTGGGATCTAGTCGAAATGTCTTCTTCCAAAAATGGTTAAAAGTCGTGTTCACATGGGGGTCCGCTACATATTCATTATTTTTAGCACACATAGTTGGTTAATGAAGGAAACATGGATTCAGAAAGTATTGACGCCAAATAATAAAAGGCATCATTAGCGCAAATAAAAGACATGTTGCAATTCAGCCTTGGAAGGGTCCATGCTAGCAATGTTTTCTAGCGCGAATCCAACGCAATCCTAGCGCGCGGCTAGCGCATGTTTCAACCAATCATTTTCAACATGCCCTAAGGTAAATATTAGCGTCACTAGCGTAAATCTATTGCACACCTAGTGCCCAACTGCAGAATAAATGTGTTTAATTGCGGGCCCACTACATAATTCAATTCTCTTTAAAAATATCACAAATTATTTTCGACCCCTTTATCTTTTATAGATTTTTAGTTAGATTCCATATATTTAATTATTCATATTTATAAAATAAATTCAAAAATATATATATATAATTAAATACTACAATATTAAATAAATTCAATTATATATATTATAATTTTTCGAAATTATTTTATTATATATATTTTATTATATTCTAAAATATTAATTCTCTATATATATATATTAAAAATTAATAAATTTCTATATATATATAATATCTCTAATAATCCTATTTCAAATTTACATAATATTATTTAACATCAAAACGTATATAATTTTAAATAACAAAAATATAATAATAACAAAAAGCAAATATAAATATATAACTAAAAAAATTATCGTATCATATATGTCTATCCTTTAAAAAATTCTATTATTTATCCACCAAAGGTTTTTTTAAATATATCCGTATCGTATTATTATCGTTTCCAATATTCCTAGTAATTCATATATTAAGAATTCATTAAAATATTTAATTATCCCTCGACCAAATAAATAAAAAAATTCTAATCTTATCCAATAATAAAAAGAAATATTTTAAAAGAACGAATAATTCCATCAATAGTATCTATTCATTAATAATAAAACAAATTTAATACCCACAAAAAAAAAATAATCATTATTAATTATATTCTCTTATCGATTTCTAATATTTTCAACTACTGGCCGGGACCGTCCATAGCTGCATTGTAGACCCCAAAACGGGGGTCTAGCATCATAACCCCTAGGCCTAAGCACCAATTAGACCCCCCCGTCGGGGGATGGGGAGAGGGGTCTATGATCGTACGACTCTAACACAGGGATACCATGCTAGATCCTCCCGTGTTGGCGGCCGATCTTTCCTTTTCAAACCATGTCCCAAAATGTCCCAAACCCATGTGCCCAAACCATGTCCCAAACCGAGCCAGTCTACAGAATCTTTTCACATCTGTGGAGGAACCAAAGTGTATACAGTATACAGAGCATGACTTCTTTGTTTATTTGTTGGACCTGTCACAGGGAAGTTGCAATACGGGTTTGTATTTTTTGCGTGTACGTCGTACGTGTTGATGTAATTGTTCCCACCAGTCAAAAGGGTCGTGCCTTTGATGGGGAAGGGTTTTGTTTCGTGCCATGTCTTGTTCAGAAAAGGAAGAATTTTGTGCGGGCGGGATATGTGGCAGCGTCTTTTGACATCCAGCAAGATGCCTCTCAGGCAGGCTGTTGCGTTGTTAGCTGGGAGATGTTGCATGTGACCGAATATGGTGGTTTGGTGCATGTTTTTTCATGGTTTTCTTCCCCACGCAAGGTTGTTGTCTTTGCAATTTTGCACCAGGATCTTACGTGTAAGAGTGGCTTCATGCTCCTGTTGGAGATGATTCTGTCGAATCTTGTCCTTGAACAGGTTAAGCTGTTTTGAGGGTATACATAGGGAAGCCAGGGTCTAAGAGAGAGTCACCCTGAATCGCATGTGTTCACAATACGGTGATGTTTGGGTATGGTCACCATAGACCCTATATGAAGAGATGCCAAAAAGATTGTTTTTCGATACCTCTCATTTGCTTGGTTCATGTGAGGATCTAGGAATCTAGGGTCTGCAATGATATCCTTTGGTATGTCAGGCTCCCAACACTTCTTCATATAAAGTTCAATTGAATTCAGACCCGTGCCCTTAGCCTATGCTCCCTATTGGGCATGATGCTATCAAAGCTTGTCCCCA